TTGGGACTAGCAGTGAGAAAAGCCTAGATGATTCAGAGTATGTCAATGAAGAAAAGAGTGAGAGGTTATTAAGAAAGATAGGCTAAGAAAATGCACTAGACCATTATGATTTATAGGAACTTTAAAAAAGAATAAAGGTCTGCTTGCTTTACAATTAATACTGTGTAAGTTGAATGGCTTAGAATTTTACTCTAAGGTAGATGAGGCATTTTTTCCATATACACTTACCTCAGACAGCCCCTATCACTTCACCCTTCCTATTTAAGCTATACCTGCTGCACATTATTACCACCTGATGGCTGAATAACAAAATTGCAGGATTTTTCATTTTAGGTAAAGTGGATAATTTCACTCTGTAAGTCTTAAGTATAAAGATGAAATGGTGATATGACAGCAAATCTATTCTTTCAGTTATCTATTAAGAATGAATAACCCCTAGGACATGACTATTCCATAGGAAAGCATTAGATAAGCAACGAAATGGCCTCTATACAGGATGAGTCATCTAAACCTATGGTCCTCAAACCTGAGAATGCATCAGTATAACCCAAAGGGCTTGGTAAAATGCCCACTCTGAGAGTTTTATTCACTAGGTTTTGGGTGGAGCCCAAGACTGTGCATTTCTAAGGAGGTTCCAGGAGGATGCTGATGCAGAATCACACATGAGAACCACTGACTAAACCAGGAGGTGGTGAGATAAATCCACCTGTGAGTCTATATACTCAGGATGGACTTGCAGTTAAGAGATGGGCTTTCTGTATCACAGGTGAAAGAAATCTACTTTTGATTCACAAGTCCTCACTGAGAATGAATGAATGAAAAAGCATGAATAATATGAACAAAATATCAGGCCATTTTTGTTGCTCTAAACAAATATATCTAGATTGCTAGGCCTGGATTTCTATTTGACCCCATTAGCAGTCTGTGTTGTACAATACACTGTGATAGAATGTATGATAATTACAAAATGCAGCTAAGAAGAAAAGACCACATTTTTATATACCTCACTGGACTAAATTTTCTCCATACAGCAAAACCTACAGGCCATTCTCCCAAGTATGTGAATGATGGTAGATATTACTTTACTTAGAACTCAGAAGTATGGTATTCAGACTCTGTAAGAGGTTAACTAACAGCACAGAGGGGCATAACATAGGCTGCTTCTGATCAAATTCAGATCAACTAAATTGATCGTCACTTGAAGAATTAAAAACTTGGCCTAATTTTACTCTGTGGTCTGTTGTTTCTTTAAAAAGAAAAAAAAAATCACACATTGTAATGTACAACTATCTCCACTGGTACAATAATTATGAGAGAGAGAGAGATGGGAAAGGAAAGAGAAAGAGAATAGGGAGGGTGAAGGAGGGGAGAAAGAAGAAACGCACAGAAAAAAGAAAAACCTATTTTCTTAAAAAAACAAAGAAACCCCGCCCCCCCCCAAAAGACTACTCACAAAATCTTAATGTGACTGCTTGAGTATATGGCATTATAGGTTATTTTCCCCCCTCCTTATCATGTTTCCCTAATTTCATTATGTTTTAAAAAGAATATTGCTTTTACAATAGAAAAATATGCCGGTGCCTTATTTTTAAGATCCATAATCAAATCTACATTGCTAGTTTTTCTTTAACTAAAAGCTTTAGCAGAAGAGCTAGCTCCCTTACATACAAAATTTTTAATAAACATATTAGTCTTCTTATTTTGGTTTGGTTAAAAGTAATATAAGGGATAAAATAAATTTTTAACATTCAAAATTTTAAACTCTTACACATGCCTATACAACACAGCATGGACCTGAAAAATAGCCTTAACAGCAATTACCACTGTAGATGTAGTGTAATCCGCTCCTGGAGAATTAGCTGCACTAAACTATGTTTTTCACAAAAATAAGATTGTTTATTAGTACTTTATAAGGAGGATGGGAGCTTTTTTCATGCAGCAGCTAGGAAATGAAGATTAATTTGTAATAATTATTTGTAATAACTTACATGTAATAATTATACTTATAAATTTATTACAAGCCACAAAACAGACTCCAAACCTGCACCTTTGCAGAGGAAATGACTCAAGCTTGCTCGCTACACTCCACAATCTATTCTTATCCATGCATATCTATGAACAGTCCCAGCAGAAAACTGCATTTTCTGACCCACATATACCTTTGATGTGTTCCAGAGGTAAGACTTCTGTATGGGAAGGCAGAATATTTCACCATCTGCCAGTCGGAAAGCAGAAAAGACTGTCCAGAGCAGCTGCCTACTTACCAGTGACCTGGTCAACCAGAATACGAGAAGTAATAATGCGTCCGTATTGTGAAAAAAGTTGTTCCAACTCCTTCTGTGTCATTGTTTTCGGAAGTCCACTGACGTACAAATTTGCATCTCTGATAGAAGCTGAACTTGGGCGAGCATAGGAAACCTGGAAAAGAGCAATGAAACGTATATGCACACTCAGTGACCTCCCTTCCAAAACCCAAAAACTGCCTCAAGTTAGTTAGCAGCTCTTGCATTACAAGTACACAACAAGTACTGAAGTTTAAGCAAGTCCAGAGTGAACTGTTTCATTTCTGGAGAAATTCTCGACAAATGAGAAACGCCATTCCCTTGCATGGAGAGAAGACAGTATTTACCCCTACCTTTGTAAGTGTTTAAAACAGACCAGTGGTGCATATAGCAGAGTACTACTCATGGTAATAAGTTATCCTTGAGGGGGGAAATCCCCCTAAACTAAGGATTTAGGCTCAATCAGAAGACCAAGCTTAAAGATTCTAAATTCACCTGACACATCTGTGTGAACTGTTTTTGCACTTCTCCCATCTCGGGGGTTGGGGGTGATGGTACAAAGTTCCTGAAGAATTTATTATAAGTACGTCCTTTTGATTTATTCGAAAATAGCTACCGTCCTTAAATTGCAAGAAGTTGAAGCATGAATGAACTGCACCTCCTGTTATCCTTTGCCTACTGTCTTCTTGTCCACAAATCTCTTTAATCTTGATTTTCAAAAGGTCTTAAGTCTGTCTACTGGTTTACTGACTTTACCTGCCATTTTAGGTACCCTTTCAAAAAGCTTCCCATCTTTGAGATATAGTGTCCAAACTTCTACCAGGATGGAAGACACAACAAATCCATGTGTATTTATCATCAACACTCTTTACATGAACTCCAGGAGGAAAGGAGCTGTATCTGTCTCTCTTATCACTGTATCTTAGCCCATCACATGTGCTAGAATATCTGCTGAGTAAAGCCAGGATAGTACCCCACTGATCCCGTAGGTCCACAACAATTTGCAAGGCACACAGCATTCAAGGAGAGTTCATCAGGTCATCTAGATCTTGCCCAAACTGTGACCGATAGCTCTGTGCCTATAATCTATCTCTGCCAATTTTAAGTTAGCACTGAGTCTCATGTGCTATTTTGACCTCACTTCCTTTAGTTTAACTGTAAGCTCTTCTGGACTGACTACTAGGACAGGACCTTCACAGTATACCCCATCTGCCAGACCATTCATAAAAATGGCCAATGAGTCTACTCCTGGGCTTGATTTGGTGGAGTACCATGACAAGATATCTTCTGCCTGTTCATTGTAGCCATTAGTATCCACCTTTAATCTGGCTCACTGCTTACTGCAAAACAAAATAAAAAAATACCTTTTCAAGTTAAACAGTTTTTGATATTTGGTATGAAACACCAAATATTTTCTCCATGATTTCAACTATGTCCACAGTTCTCTGTGTTATCACTATTTTTTTCTTTCCAGAAAAAAAAGACAGGTTTTATAAAGGTTTTGCTCTCTTTCACCCCAATCCCCATAGTGTTAACATTTAATACTCTTACCCTTTATTCAACAAGTTGGCTCAATAACAAGTGAAACTACACCTGCTGCTCCAAAAGCTGTATTTGGAAGTCACATTAGCACTGTCTTATACTACAGACACAGGTAATTTGGAATAGTGGTGGAGAAAAGGTAGATAACTATTCACATACTACTCCTTTTTTCTTTATGCCTAAATACTTAAGAACAATGAAGACTGGGGAACTTAAATATAAGTGAGAATTAAGAAATGAAAGAAATTTCCAAGTGCTCAAAATAATTCAAATGGAGTCTAATCTTGGGACTGCTAAAAACTGATAAAAACAAAGCAAATTAACTATATGTGCATTCAGTGATGTGAACACACGAACATCCAATTTCTTTTCTAAAATACAATCCTTCATTACCTGGGTAAGCTAAAAATCCCACCACTCAGCCACTCTTAGAATCTAGGACTCTAAGGCTTTATTTCAGTGGCAGGGAGCTCTCACCAAGTCAGCTGTTAGTCTGCTCCAGATTGTGTGACTGAAGTGTTCCCCTTATAAAGAGCCACTTCCCATGGGCAACAGAATAGGCACCTACACACGCTCAGAGTTAGGAGGTTTACTTCCAATGACTGATGAAGTAGGCAGCCTCAACACAAGCTCAAGCAAAGGTGACACCTCTCTAAACAATATGCTTGGGCTCAAAACCAGGTTTAATTCATTAAGGGCTCTTGAATTTGAACAAATTTTACCTTCTTTGTATGGTTAATAGGAATAATAAAATCTCTAATCCACCTAAATTGCTATTAGCACAGAGCCTAAAAGCCTAGGTGACTACACTGTATTTACCTCTACATGCATCTGAGAATGTAGGTAAAGACCTCAACCATTACAGTTGAGAGTAACCTGAGTCCCTTACTGTGTTCCAGAATAATTTACTCACGCAGTGACATTCACTGCTTTGTGCATTTCAGAGGAGTGTGGGTGGAGTGTTTTAAAAGTTATCCTAAAATATATTTAGAAAAACGGGTTTATATTTAGTGCTTATGTAAAAGCTTTGAAAACATACTTGGGTCAGTTATGTTATCTGCATTTTTTTTTTCTTTCAGTGTCTGGTCTTCAGTTCACATTGCTTCTTTAATTCCCAACCTGTATTGACTATATTTTCTTATTTTCTGTATTCTCAATGCTCTGGCATTTGTAGCCTTGATCCTGGAGAGACTGCCCCTCCCAGGAACAACTAATTTACTGACTCCCCCATGAGGTACCTTTGATACACAAACCAGTCAATCCAGAGACCACACCCCCAACTCCTTTATCAAATTCTCACATCAAGCCAATATTCCTCCTGCTCTAAATCAGCTCAGGGCCAGGTAACTTACAATCAGGGACCACCCCTATAGACCAGAGCCCTCCAAAACTATTCAAACTACCCAACGCCAAACTTACTCAGTGTACCTGTCCTGCCTTGTCCTTAGCTTTCCACTAGGACCCAACAAAAGCTCTGGGCCATGCTCTGCCCTCTCCCCTCTGCCTCCTAGCCATCCCTGGTGCATGCCCATGTGGCCTTGCATGGAACATTGTGCCTCCTGTTTCCAGAGATCTGTTAAGTATAAACTTCTTCCTTCATAACAATCATTTATGTGTCTGTATGTAAGGTAAGACACCTGATTAAAACAAATCCCAGGTACATTTTTAGAACACAGCTACATTAAAAGGGCTCCAAGAACCAATAACAAACCTTCTCAAAATATTGTTTTTCAGTAACTTTGTCAAAGAACTGGTTCCTATCACCACAGGCAGACTGGGTGATTGATTGTATAGAAGCTCATGGTGGTAACAATATTTCCATTTAACTTACAGTTTAGGGGCTGATGGGACTTCACCATTTGCAAAGCATTTTCAGATACAGTATTTTGTTTGTGCCTCACCACAACCCTGTGAGGGCACACATTAGTATTTTATAGCTGAGGAAACATACAGACAAGGTAAGTAAAATTCCTAAGGTTATACACAAGTGTTGAAATCTGGCTTAAAATTCTGATCTTCTGAACCCATGTCCTTGTCTCCTTGTCGGGTTTTCATGCCACAATACCACATTACAGTAACTAGCTCATCAGTGCACTTGTTCTGAGAGTTTGAAAAATTAAATTAATCTTGATTGTTTCTTAAACACACACACAGTGAAACTGAGGAGGACAGACAGTAGAATAGGATGGCACCAAAAATTACGGTTAAGTCATTTTATTTTCCCATTAATATTTTTTAAAGCAACTTTTCCCAAGAAACAATGAGTGGCCACTAATTGCAATTAACTGGAAAAACTACACATCATAATAAGAATTCTGAAATTAGTTTTATTACTTTCTAAGTTTTAGAATTCCATTAAATGAGCATCGTACCACCACTCCCCCTTGCCCACTTCCAGGAAATAAAGATGAAGGAAGGCAACTTCTCTCCTCCCAGATCAATGTGCTATGTCTCCCCTCTATACGTTTACTGTTTCTTGGGATTAAAGCAGCCCCCCCTCCCCTCGCTATCAAGGATATCACTGTCAGCAACATCCTCCCTTCCAGGAAACGGAAAGTATTTCTTCCTCTTCTTCTACCTCAAAGGATTATAAACAGAAAACATACTTAGACCAAAGCAGGCAGAAGACTTGCAATAGGATATGGACTTATATTTTACTTTGGAGATTCAAATCAGTTTCCAGACCAAATTTTCTATCTGGCAATTATCAGCAATTCTTGACTCTGATTTTTCTGTGGGTCTGGAGCTCAAACTGGTGCCTGGCTTTAATACTTACTAGAGAACTACTCTTGGGCTACCTGAAACCTCAAAGTGTTAAGCCTAACTTTGTGGTTCTTCAAGACTAAAATAAAACCCTGTGGAGAAGACCCAAGACATGGTTTTGTTTTATGGCAACTTCTTTATTAGAAATACTTCGATAAAACTGAGTTATCTGTAGTGAGATGGATGGACCCAGGGTTTGTCATACAGAGTGAAGCAAGTCAGAAAGAGAAAAACAAATACTGTATGCTAACACATATATATGGAATCTAAAAAAAAAAAATGGTTCTGATGAACCTAGGGGCTGGACAGGAATAAAGACCCAGACGTAGAGAATGGACTTGAGGACATGGGGAGGGGGAAGGGTAAGCTGTGACAAAGTGAGAGAGTGGCATGGGCATATATACACTACCAAATGTAAAATAGATAGCTAGTGGGAAGCAGCCGCATAGCACAGGAAAATCAGCTCGATGCTTTGTGACCACCTGGAGGAGTGGGATAGGGAGGATGGGAGGGAGACACAAGAGGGAGGGGATATGGGGATATGTCTACATATAGCTGATTCACTTTGTTATACAGCAGAGACTAACAGATCCTTGTAAAGCAATTATACCCCAATAAAGATGTTTAAAAAAAGAAAGAAATACTTCGATACAATGAACCTCCAGCATATGTTCCAGTGGGGTCAAAACAGCTTCTTCTTTCACCACGTGAGAGCTGTTCTCCAATCTACATTCACTGGATTAACAGATAGGTTTGGATTTTACATTTTCACTGCCATTTAAACAGGTAAATATTTAATGCCTGAGGAGCAAGGTTATGAAATATCAAAAC